TGTGCGAGAAAAGCTGTCACTGTTCCTTTAGCCCACGTTTGTGCAGGTGCTCGAGGTTCTGAGTGATAGACGTGGCCCTTCAACGAGCCACCTGCGATTTCTTGCCCAAGCGAAAGCAAAGAGACGGTGGAACCGAAGAAACATGCGAGCACGCAAACAAGAAGTGTCTCTTTTATCAAATCAGCATGATGAAGCCAGAGCCTCCCTCGCCTCCTGCGGCGGCTGCGCCTCCGGCCCAGGCTCATCCGACCATGCCGAAGCCTCAGGCTTGACCTGCCAAGTGATCCGGAAAACTCTTTTATTTTCTTATGACTTGAGGTGGCATTTATTGTGCAACTTCGTCAGCATGGTGCTGCAGAGCTGCCAATGCCAGCAAAGCCAACCGCGTGACGATTGAGGCTGGATTTCAGGGCTAGTTCAACTGATTCCATGTGAGGCGTCCCAGCACAGGATTTGGGTACCTGTCGAAATCTGGTATGGAGACAGCTTAACAGACCTGTATTTTCGAAGAGTCCTGTGCAAGAAGATCCTAACCCAACTCTCAGCCTCTACACCGTCGCCCCCAAATTTCACATGTGTGTGAGCCCTGTTCTTGAACACAAATCTCTGTCGCAAAAGGAAACAAGATGAGACTGATTCTGTATGGAGGGTTTTTTCATTGCTCATTCCAGCACTTCTTCTGTCTTTTGACATCTCGGTCGTCCTTTGGTGGTCCATGAGCTCTAGACTCTAGAATTCGTATACAACCTTGTTTACAAGACCCTTCAAGAGGCTCTGGAAAGTGTTTCTGATGTTAGCCCGCGCATGGCTCGCACTCACGAGAAGTCTTGTGTACGGCAGCAGAAGCAGGAAGACGCCACGATGTGCTCTGTCGACGCTGTCTGGTTTCGCAAGGCGATCACCGAACGAGCGGGGGTTCAAATTGAATCAAGGGCTGGGGTGCCATGAACAAGAAGGACTGCAAGCACATCCTCCGAAGAGACAATTAAAACTTTAGGGATACATTAAGCTTTTTTCTGGCTGGATGTGAGAGCTGTTTGGAGCGTAGGGCAGTTGTATGCTTTGCATGGTTTATCTAGATCAACAAGTGATCACAGCTCAAAAGTGCTTTGATGGAGCAGACGAACACATTGCAGCAGTGCAGGACATGTCAATCTCTGTTTGCCTCATTCGTCGTGTTGCTTGCAGGCCATTTAGCACTTACGAAGCATAACAACACAGAACTCAGGATACAAGTCACTATGCCAGTCTTATCGCCTGCTTGACTTCACCATGACGCTGAAATTGCGTGCCTAGTTTGTTTAATACGGTCGCAGAGCGACCAGATTCCAGCATGTTCGGGACTGCTTTTGGTCATGTGCCCCATGTCTCTGATCACTGCTTTCAAATCTCGGTTTGTAGCTTCTTCTGGAGCCCAAAGGCATCCAGCATCGCGAAGGGCAACGTGAGGAGGGCCTGCAAAGACCTCCTGCATGGCTTTGTCTGCGAGCTGCACGAGTCCAACGCGGATTTCCTTCGCAGCTTGATGTCTCGGCAGCCGGTGGCTGTGGACGAAGCGTGCTTTGTGGAGGACGACGCCAAGGAGATTGAATCAATGAGAGGAGATGGAAAGTTTACATAGTTACATCGGGCAAGCCCGATCCGGAATCATCATGCATGGAGAACGAGAAAAGTTGGACTTTGCTTGTTCCATCCCTACCCCGCCTGCGCAAGTATGGCAAACTATGGTCAAGTAACATGCAGGGATGGGGGGGGGGGCCACTCAGGTGTGTGTGTGTGTGTGTGGCATGTCTTCGAAACAATCGGTACAGTTACAGCGCATGAACGTGCAAGCAGGCACCAAGGCACCAATGGTAGTGAGCAGGCACAGGCAAGCATGCTTCAAGGCCTGTGTACGGGCGAATGCTCGGAAGGGCAGCCTGGCGAGGCTTTCATTTCTATCTGCTTTAGCAGTGGGCCCGGACTACTGCAGGAACTGCCAAATGCCTTTGCCTCCTCCCCGCCCCGTGTGAAAGCGAGGCGCAGGGCCTGTGGGGGGGCTCGGGAGACTTGCTAACCCACATGCGTAGATCCTCCGACTATCGTGCCTGCGCAGTGTCCATCGATGCAGCTTGCTTGCCGGATGTTGCTGAGATTTTAAGTGAAGTCCGATGCGTATGGCTCGTGTGCTCCTATGGCTTGTCAACATGGCTGACGTGCAGTGGCATTTCGCCTGGCCTTTTTGAGATGCGTCCTCCTTGGGATGAACCTCATGCGCTTTTTGCGCGGCAGCCCAGTCGGTTGACAACCCCATGAAAGCGGGGGTTGTTACTGTAGCGCGGGGATGGTTTCCAGCCCACTTGCATCAGTCGTGGTACGTTCATCATACAGCTGCGAATTTTACATCAGTTGTGCAGGGGCTGCGAATGATGTTTTGATCGCTTGCTTATGTGTGAAGTACTATGTCACACAGAACTCCGATTTCGTGACATGGGCATCTAAGCGTCAAGCGGTCGAGTCAGCCATGAATGTTTCATGCTTAGTAGGTAGTTGAGCAGCCTCAATGAAGTTGTCCATGCCTCGCAACGCAAGGCTTTCAGCGACATTGTGTTTTCTCCTGTTCAGCAGGCACATCTTCGATGGCGTCCAGAAAGCTCAAGCTCGAACTTGAAACAGCACCAACAAGCAAAGATTTCCAAAGCCACACCTTGTAGGTAGCATTCAGATCCCGTCAACGCTGTTTATTCCTCTTAGAATGCTGTTGCGGATGGTTGAGCATGGAGGCCTGACATGCATGGCTTCATAAATGCCGACTTCATGCGAAGCCTTGTGGTCATGCATCTTGATTGGCGCTGTCGCAAGCAAGATGGCGTGTCGAATTCAACACGATGTGCCGGCTAACCAACCTTGAACACTTTAAGTTGGAAGCTTTCGCAAGCGACGGACACTTTCGAAGAGCCAGCTTTCCAATGCCGTCTCAGCTACACTAGCTTTCATAACATCAAAGCCCGATCCTGAATCCCAAACCATGCTAAATTTGCCCTGTAACCCGTTCCGCGCACAAGTGTTCCTGTCTTCTTCGTACAGTATTCTCATGGACACAGATGCCTGCAGCAAGCGGCTCCCCACAAAATCGTCAGAGTTCGATGTCGAACGGCCCAAAATGCCAGGACGGCGCTGAGCCCGCGGGGAGTGGCGCTGAGAAGCAGGCGGCAGTTGGTGAATTTGGGATGCTGGGGGTCTGAGTGCAGTGGAGCACTTTGCAGTGTTTAGGAGGTGGTGTTTCGGGATTGAGGGGCTTTGCGACTGTAGGTACAAGCACAAGCGGCTTCTGCCGGATTTGGCTGGCAGAGGTGATTCCTTTCAACAGTTCATTTCCCAACAGGACACAACATCCTCTGCCGCCACGCCCTTCGAAAACGCTTCGTGCCCTGAGGTAGAGGGGACCCCCGCGGAGGTCGCTGCCTTGTCTGGGAACGGGTCCCGGGAGTTCTCGGTTCAAGTCACGACCCCATTCGCTTGAACTGTAGGGCTGCCTCGCGAACCGTCTTGAGAAGCTGTTTCTGCAACCTCTGGCGTGGATCGATGGTTTCCTAGAAGCGAACGTTTCGGTTTATTGCCATTTCTTGCGCTTCAGGGCGATGGACAGAGCAAAGCCCGTGCCTGGAACCGAACCTCCGAGGTGCCGGCCAAGGAGGATTGCGAGGAGGCCCGCGTGGTTTCGGGGTCTAAGATGGAGTGTTCGGCGGAGTTGCGGCGGAGCTTTCGCAGGCTGCAAGATCAGTACAAGATATGAAGAGTTCTGTCACTCGTGTCTTGAATCCGTGAACCGGAGCTTCTTGACACGTGAAGCGTTGCCCTGTCCGCCCAACCTGGACCTTCCCAGACACTCGGCTTCTCAGGTCCTAGCCGGTTCCGGTCGCGACTTCGACCTCGTGGCCGCGGGGGACCGCGCCGATCTCCAGGCGAGGGACGTGGAGGCCGGGTTGGGGTGGCGGGTGCCGGGGCGGAAGATTCGAGCGAAGGAAGCACGAAGCCCACTAGCGCACCGCAACCAACTTCCAGGAGAAAAAGCGTGGCTGGTTCTACCGTCAGCGAGTCTCGAACTCAGGCATTGCAGATGCATCTGCTGCATGCCTCTTGTCATGATCGGGATTGTTACAAGGAATCTCTGCCAGAGAGAGAGAGAGAGAGAGAGCGAGCCCAGTGAGCATTCGTGTGCCGAGGGGTCCTGCCCTTCTTGTCTGTGTGGAAGGAGGTGAGAGAGGGCTACTGACTGTGATAAGGGAGAGTGATAGCACAGAAGCGAATTAACGTGCCGGGTCACCCAGCTGCTTTCTGACAGAGGAGCAGAGTCTTGAGTCTTGGCTGAAACCATGGAGGAAGACCTGCACCCCTGCAGAGCACAGTGCAGTGCAGGCTTTCGATCCCTGCAACAGCTTCCTCATACTCGACATTCACAGCTTTAACCTTGTAAGATTGTAAGAGAAGGCTCTAATCCGGAAAGAGACGAGCGAGAGCTGTGTGACTCTAAAGGCAAGGGTTGGGAGCCATGGGATGGCGATAGCCCTGGCAGCCCGACGGCCCACTGGCTGGCTGCGCTGTCGTCTCGTCCAGCGCCCAATTGGACCTCACATTCCGGTGTCATGCAGCATCTGCTGGACAACCCTCAGAGCTTCCTTGCCCCGTGCTGTCGTAGAAGGGCTTTTGGATGCCTGGGAGTAAGGTGCCATGCCGGGCGTTCGCGCGCCGCAACATGCGGCCACAGCCTGTGCCTCTGGTGGTGAGCGTAGAGGACGCCGGGCATGTCTTGTTTAATCCTGTTTGAAGGATCCCCGTGCACGCTCACCCACCCAGAGGTGGTCAGGTCATATGAGACAACAGTTTCTCGCAACTAGCCGGCTTTGAGCAGTCATAGGGCGCGCGCCTCGCGCGACAAGACCGGCTTCACGTCCCCAACAAAATGCCCCTCGAGCAAAGGACCCAAACAGGCAATGAACCGGATTTCTCTAGGTCCCGGAACCTCCGGAGCCCGGCAAGCCCTAGCAGAGCGCAGGATGTGGCTCCCGGTGGGAAGCCCGCGATGACGCGGAGAGACCCCCAGCGCGACTGGTCCCAGGGCTATCCGCCCCCGAAGCCTCGGACGCTCGGTTCATGTGTCGCAATCATACGTTCGACACGCATAAGAATTACATACCGTACTGCATGCATACTTGTTCTGGCAGAGCACAAAGTCAGGGTCGTGTGCAGCCATTTGCATGCGTCTAAGTGGCTTGTGTTTTCACAGCGGCTCGCAGGATGTTCGTGGTAGTAAGGGCCAGCCCATCATCTACAGATGAGTCACAGTAGTTCTATGAGGCCGGATCGGCAGGAACTTTGCGGCCATCGACTGTGTCGGGCTCCAACCATGCATGGCCTTTCCACATCGCAAGTATCCCCCACATCCGTGAAATGGCCGCTTCTCCTGGGGGGAGTACCACGTGTCTGCGTTGAGCAGCGATGCACGCAGTGTAGAGCCCTTGCAAACTATGCAAACAATAGAACTGACGGACCGACGGAGCTTCTGGAGGTTCTTGTCGCGCCTTGTCATGATGCTGGACCCTCGTGTATCAGTACAGAATATATATATATATATGTATATATATATGTATGTATATGTATATATACATACACATAGATATACACACATACACATACACATACATATATACATATATAGATATAGATAGATATATATATATATGTATATATATATACACAAAAAAAAATAAAAAAAAGAAAGAGGCGTGTGAATGATCGGTGCTGGTAGACAGGAGCTCATCGACAACGGGCTTTAACGTGCAGGGTTTGTCTGTCTGTCACGCGACCGAAGCTAAGCATGAAGCCTAAAGCCCTCAACCGCTTCCGTCTGTCCGAATCTCTGAGTCCACTCTGTTGTTGGAGAAGACATTCTGAGCGTTGCGCGGTGGCTTGGAGAGTCAGGGCGTCCGTCTTCTGTTGGTAACTTCCTCCAGGAAGGGAGGCTTCGACATGAAAATCCGAAGCCCCGTCGGCGGGGCGGTGCCGCGATTGAACTCGTGCCTTGCCTGAACGGACGGTTTCAGGAGTGTGCCACCACCCTGGGTTTCCACCGCTGTTGACATAGACACGTGTCGTGCCCGCAAACTTTGCACCTACAGCGCGAAGAATTGATGAGCGGAAACTGAAGAGCCGGGAAGTTCAAATTTGGACGAGCGTATTTTGTCTGCTGCCCATCTCAGGCTTCTGGTGCCCGGTGAGGGTTCCATCAACTCGCCCTACGACGACCCGAACAGTCCGCTGCCTTTCGAGCCCATCGAAAAGGACCAGCCCATGAAGCCCTGGAAGGTGGCGAAATGTGGGAACACCGTCATACCACTACTACTTGCCCGGTTGATCCTCTTCCTTTTTTCTCCTTCTGCTCCTCCTGTCCGCCAGGCCGACATTGATCTCCATCACCATCCGCCTCCTCAACCTTATCATAAATCATCACACTTCGATACCGAGAGTTTAGATGTTCGAAGCCGACATCTTGGCGACCCAAAGGTGCTTCGCAGCCACAACGGCAACCTGCCCGTGCACCTCGCCGAGCATTTTTTCTTCCAGGGCCCAGCAGAAGCCTTTGAAGCAAGCGAGACACACCTCTACAGTTTTGGGGCATCGCCAAGGATCCCCAAACCCTAAACCCTAACCCTCAGCCCTAAACCCTAAACCCGAGCCCCGACCGCCTCCTGAAGTCTTTCTGAGGTACACCCGGTACCGCAAAGCGGGGAGCGAGGCGGGAGGGCTTGGATCTGCCAAGAGGATCAAAGCTTCTTTAGGGAGAGCCTCTCCTTTAGGGGTTCATATCTCCCTAAGGCCCTAGCTTACTTTTTTTAGCCCTAGCTTACTTTGCGATTTAACTTGCCCATTGCAAGAGCCTCTATATAGCGCATCAGCCGTTGGTTACAACATCTGGAGACTCGAGTCCCGCGAGAGCAGCAGCAACCGGCGAGGGCGGAAAAGGAAAACGCTTTCTGCTCATCGCTTCCCCGGAGAGCCCAATGCCCCTTAGTTAAGGAATATATACCATAAAAATCATATTATGAGGGCCCCTGTAATTTAAGGGTATATTCCCTATTTCAGGGGCTATTGGGCTCTCTGGGTCAGGTGCTCACCGTCGTGCAGCATTTCTTCGGTGACATCGAGGCGATGCGCAAGGAGCTGATGCAGGCATCTTATCGCGCAAAGTGTGCGACAGGAAGGGTCGAGCGGAGGCCCCAAACTTCGGAGGGGTTAGGGTGTCTGGTACTTCTTCGTTTTTGGTTGAGCAGCTCATGATGGAGAGTGATAAGAGGGAAGTGACCGGGCGCTTCACGGCAGCAAGATGTGCAGCCTCAGGTTTGTGAAGCTCCTGTGCGGGTTCGCGCGGGCCATTTCGAAGTGCGAGGCCTTCATGTTTGGACGCTTGGACGATCTAGCTGTCAAGGGACTGCACGTTCAGCTATCTGCCATTTCAAGATCTCCAGAGTTTTTGCGGCTGACATGTGCTTGATATCAGAACATAACGGTAGCGACACGGGAAAAATCACCTGCCGAATGAGGAAGATCAAGGAGTGGTTGGTGAAGCTTAGCTGCAAGCTGAAACCGTCACCGGAACCCATGATTATGCTGGGTTCCCATAACATACCGGGGTGATCGACAGTTGCAATGAACGTAAAGCCACGGGACCTGTAATGCTCAGTGCTGCGCGTTGTCCGGTAGACCTTCATACTACTGGCATTGCCTTGTTCCCGAGTACGTAGCTCCCTGTATTCGGCTCTGGTTGACCTTGTGCAGGGTATTGTAGAGGCTTCATACTAAGGGAGAGGAACGGCAGAATGCATTCGCCATCCATTGAGGTCTCTGGGCATGTGAGCCTACTCGACGGCTGGGCCGTGGCAAAAAGTCGCAGACAGCCTTTCCGATTCCTGAACCCCAGTCTCCAGGCTTGGGTTTAGGGTTTTAGGGTTTAGGCTTATTTAAGGTTTAGGGTTATTTAGGGCTTAGGGTTTAGGGTTATTAGTCTCCAAGCCAAGCTCCAAGTGCCTCGCGCTACCCGGTCGGGTCCTCCAAAAAAATGAAGTCCCGAACCACCGAGCCACTTCAGTCCTGAGCTTCCTGATCACAAGACCGAACTCCGAAATCCTTGGAGATTAGTTTCTGGGCTCTTGTTGAGGGATTTAAGTTACCATCATAAGGAAACCCTATTATTTACTGTAAATCCTAATTTACCTTAATCCCTTAACAAAAACCCAGTTTTGGGAGTCTTCAACTCTAAAGATCCCCGGACCGTTGTCCCTTCCTCCCACCCGGGATCCTAAGCCTACTGACCTGTTGTTGATGATCTGATTCCTGCATGACCTCAAGGATCCTAAATCATGGGAGTTGTGGTATATTCCTTATTATGGGGTAATGCAGGATTTATATCATCAACCCTATGGAGGAATTGGGGTTTTGGGTTTAGGGCTTAGGGAACCCTAAACCCTAGACGCTAAACCCTAAACCCCAAGTGGGATTTTAAGCCTATGGATGAGCATTTCCGGAGTCCAAAGCTTCCACGAGCTTCCGAGGCCCGCGCGGGCCGGGGCCTCGCGGCGCTCCGTCGGGGCCGGGGGCCTGGGAAAAGCGGAGGGGGACGAACCAGACCTGGGTTCTTGTTAGGGGGTTCATATATTTTAAAATACCATGATAGGGATATATGGTAAATAGGAGGGTTTCCTTAAGTTAAGTTACCATAGTAGGGATCTACAGTAAATAGTAGGGTTTCCTTATTTCCTTCTTATGGTATCTTAAAGTTAAATCCCTTGACAAGAACCCAGACCCGACTGGCTTGTTGTTAGGGAGCTTCCTTTCATTGCGGGACGCATGAGGCCTTGTGAGATGTCTAGGGTCGAGGTTGTCGATGTCAAAGACTCTGCAGGTTTGGGATGTAGGGCCTTGTTTCCCGAGCCCCTCATCTCCTAGGCCCAGCAGGCTCGAAAAGAGGGAAGCAGAAACCTGGCAATCCTTTTCCATCGGTTGAGCGTGTTATGAACATCCCACATAAAAAAAAAAGGAGCGTCAAGCGCTTCTTCCCAGGAGCCGATCGCCACCTGGACCGTCTCGAGCAGTGGCTGGAAAGGCGCCGTAAGGCCGGAGGCCAAAAATCTCATCGCGGGGGGTTGGATTCCGACATTCCAGCGGGAGGGCCTATTTTTTTGGGTCTT